GCTCTCGATTGGGGAGTGTATATTAGGTAGTGTGCTTAACAATGATTTATGAATGTTGACTTGTGACTTTACAATGTTGTGTACTTGTTTTTATTCATTTTGTGTCTAAAGACATTTTATATAGTAGAAACATGTCAAAATGTTTTGATCTTCGATTTCTAGGGTGGTTTCTGGTTTCTGTTAGATAATTGGATCTAGTTGGTACTTTTAATACATCGAAAAAAAATGTCATTAACTATTTAAGACAATTGAGAAAAATTGAAATATTTGCGTAAACCCATTTTTTTTAATTGACAAAATAGATTTTGTTTTTTTCTTGTAATTCAAAAATAAAGGTGCGTCTTAAAGCCAACATTTTGACAACATTGCGGTCATTACTCATTGGATGATAATACGTAAAACAATGATTACTCGTCTAAATACTTAGACAAGTTTAGGCTATTTAATTTATTTAGTATTTTTGTATAATTATCTATTGCAAAAATAACTTCAGGTTAAGCCAAAAAGCTTAAAAACGTAGTACAAAATCTCTGATAACTGCAGATAAGTTCTTCTTGTAGCATTGTAAATACATCGACATTACGTAAGCACAGCCTCTTAATATAATCGTTTAAAGTTCACATTTTGATACACATCGTTAAAATAATGAAAACTTGTAGTTAAAAATTAATACATTTTCAATTTTAATAGCGAAATTAGTAGAGGTATCTTGTAAGTAATTCTTGCAAAAAAAAATAAAATCTCAAAAAAAGTGGGAAAGTGGGTACCTCTGCTGTATATTATTTCTCGTGTGGGTCACTGTAATGGATGTTTTAAATTTGAGTTCAACGATGTAAAATCATCGTATACGAAAAATGATTCTGAGCAAAGACCGCCTGTCAACCTATTCGCGATCATAACTGATATACTCTGAGCTTTACGGACTTGCTGTGTATCATTTCTATTTTATATGTTATTTTTCTGCCGCCAGTCTAAAAATTGATAAGCTTTTGATCTCGATACCTATTTTATATTTTTAATTTATTTATTCCTAAAACATTGTATTTTAAAAATGAAAATGTCATTGTGTGTAAAAAAATAATGTTTTGTATAAGTACTTACCTATATTCATACTTTAAAAGTTTCAAGTACCAGGAATAATTAAATTTTTAAATTACAACGTTATAATTTATAACTAAAATCGTTATTCTTCGATTAAATATCTAATTTCTTCCAAACATCTATAAAAAAAAAACTGTGTTTATATATTTTACATTCTGAGCGATGAATTTATTTTATAAATGTATTATAAATAATACTTCGATTTAAACTTCGGTATCTTTTCTTATGGGGAATTTAATCTAGTTGGTCCATTTTTGGGGTCAAAATTTAAAATTTCCTTTAGTTTTCAAAAGTGTAGGTAAACAAAAAAATAAATAGGAAAAAACGGGGATTTTTACGCAAAATTGGTTTTAGTTTTTAGTATAACTCTGTACCTTTTATTATAAAAAAACAATGAGAATATTTAAAAGTATATTAAGGAATAATCACTGGATGTTTATATGAGCATTTTCTATATATCAATCAATTAAAAAAATATTTTGATTCATATTGACCTATTTATAGGCATATGAAGTTTTTGATTATTCTAGTTTTTTTAAAATTAATGTAAGATAAAAAAGTGTAATACAAAGTTCCTCGGTAAATTGTTGTTAGAGGAAAAAGTTGAGCTCAAATCTACAATTATTATTTATGAGTGTCTGAAATTAAAATGTTTACAACATTGGATATTCACTCGATTTTTCATGGAACGATTTTCTTATTTCGTTGTAATTCAAAAACGAATATCCATAGATATTTTAAATTTTCTCCAAATGTTTCTTTGATAATTTTGTATATACTTGATTGAATTTTCAAAATATTTTGTCTAGTTTTGAGCTGTTTTTTTTCTATAAATGTCAATAAAATATTATAGGCTGCCAGACTAGCCTCACTTAGAATCGTTTTTCGTATACAATAATTTTATATCATTGGAATTGAATTTAACAAATCCATTACAGAGACTATAGACATCTATAATGCAGTAATGCCCACCTAATGTTGGTACAGCAGGATATTACCCACGTCCCTCCTTTTTATATTTATTGGTTACAGTAATAACTAGTCATGAGAAACCTTATTCTAAATTTTCAAAACATTTTATTAATATGAATTTTTAATTTCAAAATAATCTGCAAATTTTCGAGATTTTGATAAATGTTTCAAACGTATCTTTAAGAATTTTTAAATGCTATTATTATAGCTTATGGAGGAACCTTGTATTATATTCTCAAGATATTTGATACAGTGAATACTTTTTTATCGATAGTTAAAAAAAAAATACAAAAATTTAATGTTGAAAATGTTTAAGAATTACCTACTCAAAAAGAGTTAAAATATGTTTTAAATTTTACCACGTACCTATAGTATAAGCTAATATACATATTCGGTGAATATTTAAAGTATCTACGAGTGGATTCATTTTTAAGTTACAACAATTTAATAAAATCTTTTCATGAGAAATTATAAGTTTACAGTTGAATATCCAATGTCCCGAATGAAGAATATTGTACTCAATTTTGAAGTTTTTGGACTGTGTAAACAATTTTATCGAGAATAATTTTTAAAAAAAAACTAAAAAAATTGAAAATGTCTTATTCCAATAAATAGTTCAAAAAGAGGACAAATATTTTAATAAAATTATTACTAATATTATTTTTAATATTACATATATTTATAGTTAAATGTTATATTGTATTGTAAATGTTAATACAAATATTCAGTGAAAATTACAAGTATTTACGGTTTTTAGTTATTGAGTCACACCAAAAAAACTAAATCGACTTTGTCCAAAACTGGGTTTTTGTAAAAATCGCCGTTTTTTTCTTAATTTTTTTAAAATTTTTTTCCCGACCCTTTGAAAACGACTAGGTATGAATTTCCAATTTAGAATTCTTAAAAGTACCAGCAACCCTATTATTTTACACTAGAAACTTCGAATCCATCAAATAACTGTTGAAAACAAAAATTTAGTAACAGAGCTCCAACAATTACTTGGAAATCTCCGGGACGAAAATGTCCATATAACTTTCAAGGCATTATAGAATAGCTAAATTCTGCAAGAGTGTTTGTATTCGCAGTCAAATATTTTAAGGGGCCCGGACATTGTATGTTTAAGGAGTATAATTCAAGCATTTCATATAATATCTATACATTTAGGATTAGAGTGTGTAGAGTTGTACGCTTAAATATGTTTATGACAATTTTTTTTATTAATTAATATTTTCAGCAACATTATGTTGTTCAACGACTAATATTTTTCATATTTTTTTGTACTTAATTTACGTGAGGACCGTTACTCATTGGAGGTATAAGTGTAGGTGTAGTGACATTTATACAAATTACTCTGTATTAAATATCTGAATAAATATACTATTTATAATATAATATACGTATTTAATGTATTATTATGTAGTGAATAAATAAAAATCATATAAAAAATTCATATAATGAAAATTTAATTAATTCTTAATTATATACATTTTTTTTTTAAATGTATAACATACAACTTTTTTGAAAGTAATACAATATATTAAACAGTTAGAATTTTTACTGTATAAGTAAGTCAGTAAGTGTTTAGTGTGTCAATAAAAATTAATTTTATCAATAAGTTTTAAAATTTAAAATTTAAAATGGTGTAAATTTTATTTACCATACAAATAATAATGTACCTATCTAATTATCAATTTTTTTTATTAATTACATTTTTTATCATAAAAATATGTACATTTAGTTCAGAAAGTAAAGCAACAAAATAAGTATTATTATTTATTATTGTTTTTTATTTTAATTTTCTTAAAAGGGTCTGCAATCATTTTTACTATATCTAAATAAACAACGAAAAGTTACAATTCGTCGGAAAAATAATTTAATTTTTTTTATAATTTGTCGGTTAGAGTATTCTCCTTATCATACTTTAAGGCTGGTACCAACAAATTGTAAGAGTCCCGGTGTGAGTTGAGTATAGGCAATTTTAATCCTTTATGAATTTGGTTGTCAATGTAATATAATAATAATTAAAAACATATTTTACAATAATTGTGATTATAATTATGAATAATTATTAATAAAAATAAAACTAAGCAAATTAATGATGGTCATTGATTGAATTTTGTATTTGAAGTTTTTCATAATTCTCAATTATTTATTAGTCAATTAAATTATTGTGCATTTTTGGATTATCAATTTTAAATTATAAACCTAATATTCATACATCTAAACATTAGTATTAACATTAACATTGGTTTATACTATTCATAGTAGAGTTTATGCACAACACTGTTTAATAGAGATTAATAATCAATGTTAGTAATCATTTATTGAGTTTGAAGAAAAACGTTATGAAGTACTCGATAATACCCGATCAAGCAATAAAAATAATACAGCATGTCACTTCTAAGTTCAGACCTATATTCTTTACTCAATACTCTACATTTTTATTTTGTATACAAATTACATAAACTATAATGCAATAATAACAACCTAAATGACTACGTAATATAGTAAGGATGTTGATCTAAGTTATACAAAGTACATTTATAATAATATAATGTATAACCCGAATGTTACCGTAGTAGTCCACGGTATCACCATAAACAAGGTTTTTGTATCTTGGTTTTTTTTATGAACTTGATCTATATTTCGTTTTATTTATCAGTTGTGATACCGTGTATTAGTAGAAAATCTATGTAAATATTTAATTTATGTTCTATATTATTTTTGATAACTATACAATTTTAATCTGTGATCATTTTTGTTTCATTTATATTATGTGTGTAATTATTACACTAAGTATCTAAAACAGTCAGTGTATAATGGTTAAAATGACATTACATATATATAAATATAACATTTATTTTGTATTCAAATGTCAAATTATTGTAATCATTTTTAGTTTTTAAATTTTTCAAAATATATAAGCCATATTTCTTCTATTATTTTTAAAACTTCAAAAAGATTCAAAAAGTTATCAGTTAAGATGAATTGATCTGTTAATGTATGAATGAATGGTTAAAACTCTAGGATCTATATTGGACTCATATTTTTTGGAGTATTTATCCATTTAGTTAAAAATAATATTTAAAATACAGATTACTGCTTAACTTCAAACACACGCACCTCAATGTTCTACAATTATACAATTATACAATACTTTAAAACGACAAATTGGGTTAAGCTGCTTGGGTTAATTTAGTTAAGCTTCTTTATGGACTGTTTCTGTTTTCAATATGATCATATTATGAACATTTTAAATTATTTCATCCAAGTATTCTATTGCAGAAATTATTCCATTTTCAAGCCTGAAAGTATAATTTTAAGATTTAAAAAATAATTAAACACGTTATAAAAATAAAAATTACTATTACCGTTCTTTTGCATGGTTAAATTTTGCTTCAAAGGTCTTGTATTTTTTGGGAATCTTTGAAACTACAATAATTTTTTCTAGAGTTGTAATGTCCATCTCAAAGTCTTGTTGCATATTTTTGAATTTAATTATGCAATTTTTAGCGCTCAGATTCAAATTATTAATATCTTTGACAATAAAATCGTTAAATCCCTCTAGGTGGTTTATAGTTTTTATATTGTTTGAGTCGTAATGATTCCATACAGTTTTATTTAACAGACCTCTATTTGAAGTTATAAATGTGTCAGTAATATAGCTTATTAGTTCCAATAAATCTAAATTTTAATGATATATATTAATAAAATATTAGTTATAAATAAATCATAAAATTGTTTGAATTACTTTCGTTCTGAGGTGCTTCATCTTTAATTTTAGTCCAAGTTTCATCAATTTGTGCAAGAGGGATCAAAGCAAGTAAACACATACGACGTATTGTTTTTTCTATATTACAATTGTTAGTTTGTGATAGCCCTAAGCTTTTAACTTTATGCCATATGACATTTGAGTAATAGTATAAAGATAATTTAATGATCTTTTGTGACCCAAACATTTCTGTAATAATAGGCGTGATGTTTAAATCCACATCAATGTAAAAGTTTCTTGGATTAAACTTCATATTATTGTTATGAGAAGTATCTTTAATGACTTGTAGCATTCTCATGTAACTCCTCTTATTATTATTAAATAATAGCGCATACACCTACAAATTATAATCATTGTTTTAGTTATAATATGACATTGTTAAAAAGCAAACTAATATTATTAGAATAAATTATAAATACCATTGGTACTATTTTTTCATCTATAAAGCAGTGTAAAGTAAATAAATGGTTGAATGGTTTGAATTTCAATTTAATGTTGTAGCTGCTCATAAATACTGTGTCGGTGGAACACAATTTTTGTAAAAACTCTTTGGTTCCTAGTACAACAAAACTATCTTCGTAACAACCATACCCTAAAATGTAATTTTTAACATATTTAATATATTCATTAGATTATTCAATTGCCAATATTTTGTGTAAATACCTAAAATAAAATCTTTTCCATCATTTGTTAAACGTATTTCGGCATCATTTACTAGTTCGTTCAATTCAGAAGCACTCATTTTGATACTTGTAAATTTAGCGTTTCCTTGAATTTTAAATGGTCTTCGAATAACCTGCAGTGGTGGCACCACAGGATTCATTATAACTCCTAAATATAATAAAATTATAAAAATATATTTTTTTCGGATTATGAGTATAATACTACAAAACTCTTAAAAAGTATCTAAAAACTATAATAAATACCTATAATAGGCACTATAAGTACATTATACTCATAATGAGTGTAATATTTTGAATTCAATAGTAAATCATTGCATACAAAAAACGAGCCTGAACACAGACGTGTCATCCTAGCATACTTGTATAAATAATCAAATTTAATGATAAAGAAAATTATAAAAATTGAAAATATTTCATGGCTATAAAAAAGTAACTATTCACTAAACTTTTTTATTTAGGTAGACAAACTTGTTGGGAATCTTTTATTAAAATTTCTAATGTTAACTATGAAAAGAAAAAAATGTTATGAATTTCTAACTGAAAAATAATTTACAAAATGACAACATTTTATAATCATCTATAAATAGCAACAAAAATAGTCGAAATATTTTTAAAAATTTACCAAGTATGGAAAATTATAATATAAATACTCGGAAAAAATGTCAAGTTTCTATAGCATAATTCGTTTTTGGATTACAACAAAATATTTAAAATCCAGTTATGGGAATTCGTTAGTTTATGGCTAAATATCAAATATTATCGTATATATTTTAAATTCAAACTCATAAAAAATCAATATTACTTTTCGGTTAATTTTTTATTTTGTTCTAGGTAGAGAACTTATAGAGTATTTTTATTAAAAAGTCTATTGTTCAAAATATTTTTAATTTGATTTTTGTAGATTTATAGGTATAAATTGAGTGTTAACTTAATAAATGACAAGAAAATAACCAATTTACATATTTTAAGCAAACTTTAAATTAACCTAAAACTTAAATTTCTATTGGCGTTCTGAATTTTATGTGTGCACACAATTTTTTTTTTTAATGTGAATTAAATGAGCTTTGAAAATAAATATCCGATCACATACAGTATACTTTATTATTTATTTCCATGATTATAATTATTATAGATCAGTGGTTCTCAACCTTTTTTGGTTCACGCACACTACTATACATCACACATTTTCACGGCACACTCACGCACTTGACAACCACAACAACTTTGGAAACTTCGCCGAAGGCAATAAATATCGCCACGCGCCTATACATGTATGACATTTTAGGCGGCACATCTAGTCGATCTCATGGCACACTGGTTGAGAACCACTGTTATAGATGTTAAAGTAGGGTATTTTATTTGTTTTATATTTAATGCAGTATTATACTATACTCAAATTATCGAAAAATTAACATAGGTTATACAAAAATTATTTAAGAATAAATTAATATTTAAACATTTAAAATCATGCTACCAAACCTAATATACCTAGTGATTAGAAATAATATTAATTAAAAATAATGTAATTACAATTCATGTAGTAAATTATATTTGTAAATATTACATTAATTTTATAATATATTATATTAATTAATATATTTTTTTTTATACAACCTGTATAAAATAGTTTTATACCATGCCAATAACCCGTATAATATAATTTTATACCAGTGTAAAATACAAACTCATGTCTCTAATAAATATTGATTTAATATAATGTTCTTGAACAATTATTTTAACAATTCAACGAGTTCTATCGATATTAGTATGTTGATGGATATTTGAAAATGTGCGCTATCAATAAAAATAATATATCATAATATCGGTAAGAATTATATTTCAAATATTTACCTCAAGAGAATTATTTTATTAGATTCTTCGATTCTGAAAATCACGACTGCAACAACGACGACTACGTTGAGTTATTATTTAAGGTCAATCGTGTACACTTGTGTGAGAGGGTGGTAGGAGGACACAGTTGGGTACGGTATGTGGGGGTAGATTAATTTAGACCCAACTGATGTTTTGTTATTTTTATAAAAGGTAATCTTCTCTGCTGGACATAATATAGTACAAGGAAGTAGATGGTTTTGAGGGTAGCAGTAGAAAGAGTAGAAGAGCCGCAGCCATCTTCTATAGTATTCGAACATGTTTTACTTAATAAAATACATAACAGCAGTAGGTACTTACCACGGACTAAGATGTACTCGCATTGGACATGGTAATTGGGGACGGGCATCAAAAGTTTCCTTTGTTATTTTTAATACTGTACAATGAATGTTTTCAACGGTAACGGTGGTTTTATTTATTGTCACATTTATATCTTAATCCGTGATACCTACTCATGCTTAACAATGTGTGTAGTGTGTAGGGTTCATATTTTGGAAACTCTTGGAATCTAGATATTCTCTAGCTACATTATACAGTCCATATTCATCGACAAGTGCGTGTGAGTGCTTATCCAATTATATTCAATATGCAGGTCGCGCCATCGTCTACTGTACACGGGCGATCCACAGGCATACTCACACCGAGGTGCATTAATGACTTACAAAAAGTTAGAATATTTGTTTTTAGATAGCCAAACTCTTAATATTTCTATTCACAAAAACGTTGGTTCATTTTTATAACAGTTTTAGACAATATAATACTGTGATTTTCTGTGTTTACTACCAAAATATATTCAATTGTAACGACTGTAGTTATAAAATCGCACTCTCACGAAGTTAATTTGAAAACGACTTTTTTACTTTTTTTTTATTTGAACTAAGAACCTTTTAAAATGTTGAATATTAAGAATTTTAAAATGTAATAATGTAGAACTCAAACTTTTTTTTTAAATGTAAGTTAATTGTTTCGAAGTAAACTTCATGTCGAATTTAAAAAATTAAGTTTGAATTCAAAAATGTTATTGGAAAACTCGATTAATGTATACTTACTACTGACAATTTTAGACTAAAGTAAATAAAATTCGTTTTGGTGTATGGAGTATGACGGCTCGTTGTTGACAGGTGCGTTGACATAGCGGGAGCGCCTAGCTATTTCTAACTCTACTACTAATTACAAATTAATTATCGCTGATACTAGAATACTACGCACTCATCCATACGACACGTACATACAAAAGACAAAAGTAGAAACTAAGAAAGTACTACGCCTATATAGAACTTCTTAAAATTGGTTGGTATATTGAGAAGGTAATCCTATAATGTCGTCATGTATCAGATTATACAATTATAATTGTATTATTGGAAGTGACAAATTATGATTAAAAAACCCATGACCATCTATAGCTTTCGGTACTCAGTGTTCATACCACCCAGCGCGTGAAAACAGTGTACAGTGTACTACGATAGCGGTTCCCAAAGTATGCATCGCGACGCACTGGTGCTCCGCGATGTCTTTACTGTATTTGTCGTAGGTTATTTTATACGATCCAAAATAAAAATTTGAAAACCTAACGATGGTGGCGACGGAAACGATTACGATTGTGTAAATAAAAATGTATACATTATGTGTAATTTTATATAGATACATAATTTCATATTAACCGTTCAATTTTTTCTGGTTTTTATTTATTTTTTCTATTTTTTATGATTGGTCATCCTATAACTTGGAAAGGTGCCCTTAAAAAACCTCAGTTCAAAAAGAGCACCGCGAGCCAAAAAAGTTTGGGAACCGTTGTAAGTGCTATGTTATTAGGTCAAAATCAGTTTTTATATTGTGGCCGCGTATGGTTTATAAAAACTATATTAAATTCTAAAATAAATACGGCAAATGTAAGTTGCGGCCCGATATTTCTCAAGTACATACAGAAGTCATGTATTATATACCTAAATTGGTCGCTACTGAAAATCGATAAAAATAACATAGAATAATATATAGTTTCTCCTAGAAATTTCTTGAATACTAAATTTCTAAAATTTTACATGACTAGATATAATTTAAAAACAATGAATGTATTTGAAACTAATAATTAATTCAAATTTAATTTTGTCGTTTAAATTTTTACCTGCTTCGATTTAGTCTAAAAAGTAATAAGTTAATAAATTATTAATATAACATGACTTATCCAAAATGCGCACAAGTTTTTTTTTATTAAGTTCAAATAAAAAAATGTTGATAAAAAAAATCCAATACTGTAACTAGTTATATCAATATTATAACAGTATGTTAACAGTGCTAAGAGTTGATAAAATGTGTAGGAAAATATTGGTTGTTAATTTAGTTACATACGTTGTAATATAAAAAATACCCGGGACTCAATTTATATAATATGCACAAAAAATACACGGGAAGCAATTTTCATCTAAAAGATACATTGGGACGCAACTTATAGTCACACACTAAATAATAATAGTATCGATGATCAATCTTTTTATTTTTTATTTTCCTATTATTCGATTATTGAACTTGTCAGTTGTCATAAACCTGACTACCGTGTTTTACACACATTTTAAAATGTTATCTTCGATAGGAAGACTACTTAGTTTACTTAGTGATTCCACTAAACATTTTTTATTATTGAATCCGGCAAATAGAAGAATTTGAAGCAGAAGTTTATATTAAAATTAGAAGTATAGAAACATTAAAATCCAAGAAACGAACTTTAATTTGAAAGAATTATATTCTTTTTAAAGTTAAAAAATACAAATGAGGTAAAAAAGAGATTTCAATTGATACATTTGAAATCTGTATCACATTATTGAAAAAAAAATTATTATGAATTTGACTAATTTTATACTTACTTTATATTTTATAATTATTCAATAAAATACTGTCAACATTATATAGGTAGGTACTGTTATTAATAAATGTTGGATATCAGTACATTTTTGTGTTATAATTTTGTGACCAAATCTCTTGGTACCATTTACAAATATACACCTATTTTATTGGTGGCCTAATGCCCAGAAACATAATTGAAACCAATAGTGTATACGAAGCAGATACATAAATTAGTTTGACTCAATTATCGACTGCCCCATAATTCTCTTTAATTATTTTAGTATGTATTATAGGTACTAACCATTTTTAACACTAACTGTTTATTATTTTTACTAAACAATATAAAAACTATTGTAGTTGAAATAATATTCTAATTAAAAACTATGTAAGCTACCTAATTGAGAAATTAAAAATAGATTGATCAACATTTTTCTATTGCCCTTTCAAATATTATGTTGTAATAGCCTAAACGTTCTGACTTTCTGAGTACTCTAAGCGATTATGTGTAATCACTGTATCGATTATAATGGTCGTTTAATTAATTTGCATAATTTATGTTAAATTGTTTTATTTATTTATACAATTACGCAGTGTCTTTTGCAATGCGATGTTATATATATTATACCCAAATCCAGTGAGTCCGGCAAAAAACAAAACTCATCGCACTGCGGCAGAACACAGCGGTCAGTCAGAACTCAGAACAGTAATCGCATGCTCTCGCCGCATTTAAACATTAATAAATACATTTTTTACAATTAATGTATTTTAAGACAGTACATTTTAAATTCATTAAATATACGTAACCCTTAAAGCAGGTAGTGGTGATTAGACTTGACCTCCAAACAACAAAGCCACTAAGGTGGTAAATAAAAACTATGGATCATTATCATTGTTAAAAATAAAACCGTTACTAGTATATAGATACTACATAATTAGAAATTGAAAAAAAAATATATCGTATTATTGTTTTATCAGTATTATCCTATAAAAAATCTATGTTTAAAACAGTAGGATACTACATCACTACCTATAACTTTAACGGAAAGAACGAAAAATTAATATTAATTTGATTGTATTGTATTTATTTACTTTAAAATTATAATACCATAGAATAGCACATTGGGGCAGGTGTCAAATTATATTATAATATAGTATTACATTATTTAACAATATATAATATATTGTGTTATATTTTATGATCTATTTTATGTTTTTATATTGGTACATATATTTAAGTAAGTATTAAGTAAAATTATTAATAGTTATTTTGTGGGCACTCTTTGTTATAAGAAACATTTCAGTTTCAAAACTCGGGAATTCGCCTAGTTAGACTTACATGCAAAACATACATCATACATTAACTGTAAACTGTAACTCATTCAAAAATAATTGCTCCCGAGCGATTGCCATGTTGACGTTGAAATCACAATATGTGTGAACAATCCGTCGTGCGTCGTATATACAAATGGGGCATCGCTCGAGAACTCGTTTATTTTTAAATCAGTTGAACAATTAAAATTATTTGCATTAACTTTTTCACTTTTTGAATATTTAAAAAAAACAGATCAACATCACCTGTCAAATCCAATAAAATCTAGCCATTTAATAATAATTATTAGAAATTCATAAAAGTAGGCTTTTTGTATATTAATTTCTATATCTCATAAACGTCGAACATTTGTATTCATTAAATATTTTAAGCATTAATAGTATTAAAGTTAATTTAAAATTACTTAAAACTGATTCATATACCTTTCATATTAAAAATCATAAATGATTAATGTATATAAATAATATACAGTTCAATAATTTATCGATTTCGTCGGCAGTTTATAGCTGTAGCTTAAACTTTATAGGTTGGATCTGTGGAGTGTTATCGTTTTTAAGGAGTAAAAAATGTGTTGTAATTTATATAATTATATTTAAATATATTTATTGGCTATGTAAGTGTGTGATAAGTAAATAATAATCACATTCACATACACTTGTTTAATTATTAATTTTTAAATGTTATAATCGTTAAAATTGTATGCCAATGCTGTAGAGAAATCGTTTTGGTCTGTTTGTAGTTGTACAATAATAAATTATTATATGTATTCAATATCGAATCTATCTTTTTCTCAAAAAAGTATGTTCATTATTAATAACGCAGAGAAAAAAAAATAAGTTATCGAAATAATATCTCCTCCACGGATAAAGCGGATAAAGTATTGTTACCCCGTCTTGCAGCTGCAGTTTTATGGTTCTAGAAATAATCTTTTGTAACATTTTACAGCGTATGTGTGAGACGGCAGGGGGCTTAGTATACATATACTATGTAATTCTAATGGAATTCGGCTGTTTGTTCGTTATATTCTCCTAAAATTCTCTACCGAGGGTGCGACAGTTTACGAACCAATATTTACCGGGCGGCCGTCCATTGTCGATAATAATTCTTCGAAAATATTGTACTGGGATGACTCGTGACGGTGGTAGGGGGGATATGTATCTATGTACTTATGTAATGCTATATCGAATTGAATTTAATGTTTACCGAGTTCCTGGTTATTCGTTCGATACGTTGTACGATAAGTGAGCGATAGCGGCCATTTTTGACCGAAAAAAACTACGGGTTCCGCTTAACGTGGATTACATCAGAGAATTATGTGTAGCAAAGTATTAATTAATTCTATAAAACAAGCTAATGAAACTTAATTATTGAAAGAAAATTAATTGTGTTGTGTACAAATGAATTATTAGTAATGATGCAATATTGGAAATTATAGTAATTAATAATTAAACAAAATAAAAAATGTTGATATTTTCTCGTGTATTGAAAAAATTGTTTTCACGTTTGCCCACTTGTATGCAAATGTTGAATCATAAATAGTAAACACTGAATACTATAAAATGCTGTGTATCTTAATCACCATACCTTGAGCTTCTGATTTTAGCTGGTTAGTATTTGCCTTCTGTGCATGTAGTTTCTTTTGTTGTAAATACATTAGTAGAAATCTTCAGTAATATACGTTGAATACTAATATTCTATTAAATGTATTCTTCTTTCATCTAACGATATAAAAAAATTTTTGGTTAAAATTATATGATTTACATAAATATAAAAATTATTTTTATACATAACTAAATTATAATACAGTCTTGATAACTCGAATCTCGAGGGGAATTAAAATAAATTCGACGTGTAGTTTTCTAGTTATATACCTCAAACACAACATAAAATCATTTCAAGGGACAAAAAAAAAAATTCAAGTTATCAAGGCTCGACTGTTTAGTGAAATAAACTGTTTACAATTACTTAAAATAATGAATACAGTTGTAGCTTTCATGGAAAGTAGCTGCTAGTTGACCTTGAATTAATTTTATTACTCTCCGCGTCTAACAGTAGTTTTAATTATTTCGTGAACTGATATCACAATAAACGCTCTCTCCGTAGCAACAGTTAACGAAATAATGAAAACTACTGTTTTCGTTGTAAGGAGTGGAATGAATTATTCAATGTCATACAAAGTCATCCGCTACTTTTCGTGATAGCAACTATAGGTCATTTTAGGCAAGGTTTTCAAATTATTCAGAATTATGTTTACATGAACCTACCTTATTTTGATTTAGTCAAAACTTATTAAATATATAAGTTGAGATTTAATTGTATTTTTGAATGTTGACACGATATTTTATATTTCAATGATATTTCTATACTGAAAAAAGTTCGTATGACACAGTAATGATTTAATTGGTAATTACAAATTAGTAATTATTCAAAACATAATTATGCAATAGTAATATATAAGTGGCTAGATCAGTGATTCCCAACGTGGACCGTACCGCTCCTTATGGGCTTTTTGAATTTTGAGTAGGGCGATAAATAGGCAATAAAATGTATAGATAACTGCGTACATTCAAGGGCAAAAATGTGAGATTTTTAAAAATCTAAAACGGGTATTGAGTAAAAAAAGGTTGAGAATCACTGGACTAGATAATATACATATATATTTTTTAATGATAATGATACGCAAAGAAATTTAATAACGTCCTGCACAGTTTCTATTTGAAAATTATTACTATGAAATTTAAAGCTACGAACATTATTCAGTTTCCTGCATGGCTTTTTATATTATTATTTTGATGCGTTTATTGAAGCATTTATTTATGAACATTTAAAAATTTTAAAAAGACTTAACTTAATTTATAGTTTTAAATGTTTGGTAAAAAAAAACAATAATAATAAAAGGATTTGTAATAACGCTATGACGGCGATGTCGTACTGTATATTATTTTTACTGTACAATTATAATGACTATTCGATTATTATATAAGTATAGTGCTATAATAATCATTGGCATTATAATTTATGATAGGTATTAAAATTTATCTTGGTCGTAATTAATAAACGTTCGTTATTCGATGACCCACATGTGACCTTGGTCTCGTGTAAAAACTCATATTAGCTGTCCGGGCCGTTCGTTCTAGAATATTCTTTGATAACTTTGTAAGACGAGTGTGTCGTAAAGGCAGGAGATTATATGATATATTGATATATCATTATATGTATATAATGCTATGTGGTAGTATTGTTTGCTCTAGAATATTCTCCGACAATTTTGAGGGTGGGGTTTGCCTCTTCTAGGCCTATCGAGTTCAATAATTACGGCTAGCAGCCATGTTTGTTCGTTCTAGAATATTCTCTGTACATTTCGTTAACGGAGGGTGTGTGAAAGTGACAGGTCTAGAGATTTATATATATATATACAAAGATATAATAACGTCGTTGTCGAAAGAATTTGATGTTTACCGGCCGGGTGCTGCCGCTTTATCGTTGGTTCTATAGAATATTCTTCAAAAACCTTCAGAGGAGAGTGTGTGGCGGTGGCGGGATGGGTACATGTATATGTTATGTATACTTACATAATATAAGTATAGCACTATAACTAAGGCAATGGTTGTGACCTTGTAGAATATAGGTCCCTACTGCGCATGCGTGATTTGAAATACTGGATCGTCCTGCGCTACCAGCCGTTCGGGCAGGTAGGTACGCGTGTACCCAACTGTTCTACGAATTTCTGTGTTTCGACATCGGTGGACGGGGGAGCGGTTCGGTGGGATGCATTGTTCGGGCGGTGGTGGCGGGAGAGAACACCGGTGGCCTGGCTGCAGTGTAACCGCGTGTTATTACATATTTTAGCTCCGACGTTGTCAACAACGCGAGTACGTGACACGCTCACCACTCGGTAGTTGGTAGGTTATATCGTTATTTTTTGAATCTGCCGGTTGCCCACACTGTATTGTTGCTCGGTCGATCGGTGTGAGTGGTGTGATGCGCTTGCGCTGCCAGCACTATAGACGTCCAATTCTCAGCCGCCTTTGCCTTCCCGAGTCATAGGTATTTAATATAAATCATCCTACGGAACGCACCGGTTGCGGACGCACGCCTGGCCAACCGCTTGTAGCTGTTAGTCATTAGTTAGTAGTCTTCACGGTTTTACCATTTTAATATGAACATTGGAATTTTCTAACGTCAAGATGTGCTTCCAAATGTCGACACCCGAAGGGTCGTCCGATGACGATCCTGATGACGAGCGTGGTCGGAGTTCCAACAGTTCGGTGAGCAAAAATTACCAGTACAAATTTATAATATTATTACTTAATACCCATAACCTGTAGGTACTTAGGTATATTGCTCATTGTATGTCACTTTTGCCAGATCGTAAAAACAGGATAGGTCTACCTTACGGAGTCCTTTTACGTAATACTTTATTATTATTAAACATATCATCAATCATAATAACAATAGTAATCGAGCTATTTGTATTATAATAATTTTGTAATAATTTGTATAGCGTTATTATAATATTATAAGATCATCTTATAATTTGTAATTATAAGTAGTTGTCACGTGTTTTTAGCATTAGTACCTATTGTATAGTGTTGTTTTAGTTAATATTTATTGAACAATTTAGGTTATTTTTTGGCATTATTGTACATAAATATTTTGTGTTTATAAAACCATAATGGATAATCATAGGTAATTTTAATACAAGTACAATAGCATGTAAACATTTGTTGTATACATATTATAATCACTTAGGCTAGAAATACACTGTCTGGTTTCGCACAGGATTCTAAGACTATTTATTCGTTTTATCTCGATGGGTGCAAAATTAGATATACATACAAGAATATTTCAATAAAAAACCACGCTTTCATTAAACTGTTCGTTTCACTTTTATCATATTCCGATGTTTTAGTAATTGTTCTGTAAATGTAAATGTTATACAGGTTCTAGTGCGTAAGAAATAACAGGATGTAATATGGTGAGAGGAATTAAGAAAATAAAGAGTGTATGTGTGAGAGAGAAAAAGAGAGAGGGTGAGAGAAAGACAGACAGAGACGGAGGGACAGAGATAGAGACTGAGACACATAGACGTTCAGACTGTGACATTGAGTGGGGGAGAAAAGGGCGTGAATGTGAGAGAAGAGAACATGGGATGCCGCTTTGCTTGCTGCATTTATATTATTTATATATACGTGATGGTATGAATCAAAGATCACAGAGAGTTATATTAACGAGGTGAAAGGTTTTCTATCATGTTTTTCGTTGGTTATGTAATGTGTGTAAGACGTGTGCGTGTATGGCCGCGCTGATCTTTAATAATTGATATGTCGTTGCCTTGTGTTCGAGAGCTTGTAGATAAAATGTACATACAATTATATAATTTGAAATGTTTGTGCTTTGTGCATGTGGGGTATTCAAGCGGTGGTTGTAAAAACATTTGGATGTAGTACATTATTGTGGCGAAACCGGTTGTGACGAGAGTCTACAGCTACCAAATATTTAAACCCTTGGTTGTCAGTGGGTGGAGGGTAGAGATGACGATGAAAGGGCAGCCAGTTTTCCAAAATGGGTTCTTATAATATTAAATTATCTTGTGACTGGGATTCTATACCGACCATGTTTAAGGAGTTAAATGTAGGCAATTTTACAGCTACTGTAAATGTGGGGCCGCCGACCAATAGAGTTAAGGGGATTCGATACCGATCTGTTTTAAGGAGTTGAATATAGGCAATTTATATAGTACGTGCGTGCAAGACATGGTTACGTGTATGTAACTGATTATTAGTGTGAGTGACTCCCGCACCACCACTATTTCTATTATGACTCACGCACGCTCATACACATGTCAACGTGTACAACGTCGCGCGCGCGAGTAAATTAAATAGACTGTTTTTTCGACTAAAACATCCAATATTTTGTCCATCATTCCGATGGACCTAATGATACGATAAGACTTTTAAAAACTGATTTGAATTCGTTATTATGTCTTCTTGAGATCGGCCTAGCCACTTTTTTGAATTTACAATTTTAATTCAGAGTAATCAAAACTTACATTTTTTTAAGTTTCACAATTTCTAAATCCATATTATAAAGATTACGGGCCGAATTTTGAAAAAGTGACGTGGCCGATCTCAAGAAGACATAATAACGAATTCAAATCAGTTTTTAAAAGTCTTATCGCATTATTAGGTCCATCGGACTGATGGACAAAATATTGAATGCTTTAGTCTAAAAAATGGTCGGTATCGAATCCCCTTAAGCGCTATCTGCAGTGATACAGTGTTTTAGAATAGACAGGGTACATTGTATTTGCTATGTTGAACCAGGTATACTCCGAGAGGATTTCTTATGTAAATTAGTCTGGTAAATACATCTGCAAACAAAGTTTATTCATTAATTGTAAGATACTCATTGTTATTTTATTATCTTCTATTATTATTATTATTATTACTATTATTATTATTATTATCATTATCAGTACCTAACGTTTACACATTTCATATCGAAATACCTATACACTTCTCTAGTCATGTTCAATAAAATAAAATTCAGTTTTATCAATGTATCATTAACGTTCATCTACAATTTGTCAAAAAGGAAATCGATTTGTATGTACGGAAAAAATTCGTCACATTAGCTTAATTTAAAAATAAAAAATAAAAAATTTGTTTTTTAATTTATGTAAGATAAATAATATTTTTAAATACAATATTTGCGTACCTTGTTATGTATCTAATATTCTGAATGGATTTTAATAAATAATAATAATATCATAATGTTAACTAGGTACTAAAATGTATGAGTATGAGTGTATGACCAATGAAAAATGTGAGCCTTCGCTCAGAAAAATTATCTGTATTCAACACTTAATTCATCCACTTTATGTATAATATATTAATATACTCGTGTGTATATTTATGACGAAACCAAATCATTTTCTTACGATTTATAATACCGTAGATACCGGTATCAACATTTGAAGTGCCGTCAGTACTATTTCATTCACGAAAACTCGTCGGAATTGGTATAATTAATGTGATAGTTAGGGGGAGCCTAATAATATGATAGTACTACGTTACTTTTCTTCATACCATACGTATCTTACACGTACAACATATTTCACCGACCGGATCATAAAGAATATTGATTTCTCTTTGAAGAGTAATTTTCTTCACAGGAAACCGTCGTTGAAGTTGTGTTAAGTGGCTTTGTGATTGATGGGGTTGAGGGGTCGGGTTGTAGATGGCGTGTAAAGTATGGCATATTAAAGTGTCCAACAGCCTAAAGTTGCGCGGAGGGTCGGAGAATGATAGTGTATTAGTAGTCGCTTGATTCCCTCTAAGCGTTTTGTGGACCATTATTGGGTTGCTTTCCCCACTGGTATATTGCGTGTCCTTTGTAAATTCAAAATCAATGTTTTGCGCGTTTTGTTTTCCCCGTTTTCCCGAAAATATTGGAAAATATTATTTACAAAATTAATTTGGGTTAATTTCAATTTAAATGAAGTTAGAACTTGAGTTTTGAAAAATATTAACTTTTAAATCGTAGTAAAATGGTATTTACATAATTATATTTCATTCAAATTTACCCGATTATTTGTTCATTGCTCAAGGTTATTAGTTTTGAGGCTTGTCAAAGATAACCTTTTGTACCCTAAATAATCATTCCGATTTAGTTTGATTAAACTTACGTTTAAATTAAAAATCATATTTTATATTCTATTCAATTAAGACAATTAAGTAAATATGTTTAGCCAAAGTTCACATATTGTAATATAATAATTATTTCTAACATTATCTATGTAACACGGTTTCTGTATATTTTGTGTTGTCTGGCGTTTATTTAATGAGTTATTTCGAAATGATATAATAAGAAAAAAAAGTAATACATGCTAATGATTTATTATTTTTGTAACAACTCTACTTACAACTTACTACTTACATAATGTGTTTTCTTCGATGATAATTTTAACTAATTAACATATTTTTAAAAAAATGTTGAAATCATTCAGTTATTTTTGGACTTATCATCATACTACTATATAAAATAGAACCCCCTTTTTTGTATGTACGCTCATAACTCAAAAAGTACCCAACGGATTTTAGTACAGTTTTCACTAATCAATAGGTCTAGATTCAGTGCAGGTTTTAATATACAATTTATTCTTATAACTTGATTAATAAAATAAAAAAATTATTTGTGCCATACATCAGTATATACTTAAATAGCATAAAATTGTCGCCCCGTGCACAGATTTCCCTTGCGCAGTGGCACTTTTATAAGATTTCAAAGACAGTGTTTCGAACCACTAATTGGTTATGATAAGCAAACAATTCTTACTTTTGACCAAACAAAACAAAATAATTAATATTTGTGTAATATTAGTATTAGTGCTTTATTGACATGTTTTTATCCCCTGGAGCGCTCCACTATTTCTTTATACTATATCCATACAACATATTGATAGTACAGCTCATATATTCACATTACTATGATTCTTCAAAATTGCCTATATTTAACTTCTTTAAAATGGTCAGTGATTATCACATCTGTACTATACTCTGTCTATTCCCCTAAATAAGAACATTGTATTTGCTTGCTGTTGGCATGACCATCACCAGCAGACTACAGAATCACTTCTGTATGCAGATTTTAATATTTATGTATATTTTTTATAGAAAATCAACACATATTATTTCAAATTAGATATTGTTCAATTAAAATTTAAATATTGATTGACCTACTTCTTTTAAGATTTACAGCTTGTGTCGGAGATTATAATAATGTTATTATTATGAGCAGTGATGTAAAAATACCGTATTATATTTTTCATTTGTATAATACGTGTATTATACATGTATTATACGTGTATTATACAGTATTAAAAAAAAATTGTTTGGTGTTTACATTATTGTTAAATATAGTTATTCAAGTATAGTAAAATCAAAACTATTGAAGTTTATTGATGAATAATGATCCATTTTAAATATTAAATTAAATAATGGCAGTTATGAGTTAGGTAATTATAAATAAATAAAAATATATTGTTTCTAAGTTTAGAATATTAGATTTTAATATTTTTAGTAATTAGAATTAGTATTTAATTAATTAATTTGTGAGTATTTACAGTAATTACACAACTATTTAGACCCCCCCACACTATAGTGTTAACATTGATTAAATGTAATCAATGGTGTTAATAAATAAGAACTTTTAACAAAAAAAGAAACAAACTTTATTATAATTATTATAAAAACAGAACATAAAT